AGATCATCGAGAACTGGGTAGTACACTGACCATTAGATACAATCATCGTACTCCTACCTTTCGAGTCCTTTCTATTTTTCTGATGTTTTCCAGTCGAAAACATCATCTTATACGTCTAACTTGGACTAAAAACCTACGGAACCAGCCAACGGAATCACTAACTAGAGTACTGCACGGATACAGATACTCGATCTATGGGCAATATTATTCTAACACACTGCTAATAATTTAATAAAACGACTAATTAATTATGTGATCAAGTATATTGTTGTTATACAGCATCCTTAAAAACACATATTTCCATATTTATTTTTGAATTGTACTCTTAAATATGAATTTGGGTTTCCACAAATCATTACTTTTCATGTCCGTACCTTACCACATTCTACTGTTATTCTTATCTTTGCTTTCCATTTTTGTGCCTGAGTACGAGTACTTGATCTGTGAATTGCAGTAATTTATCATTAACCAGGATAAATATGATTGTATCAATAAAATTCTAATCAAATAACAGAATTTCATTTCTTTGAATAAATATCGAGATTAAAAGAACTTAAGATTCAAAGATTTCCTGTCATAAGATGATTTCAAATATAAATACAAAGCAAACTCATTAACTAAATTGAAAGCGCTACGGTAAAAGTGAATCGACATGTTTTCTTGTAATATTTCAAAAAAGAAAAAGACGAATGCTTCTACATAGTCTTATATTTTCATAGATATTCATGAGAATAATTAATTGATTTCATACAAAACAATAAATTCATTTTGGATAAAAAAAAATAGTCAAAGAATATTTATTGATATAGATTCTAAATAAACCTATGATAACTATTCAATATATCTTTGTAACTCTTTGTGAAAATCATAAAATTATTTCTAAATATTTATTCTGTTTTTTTTCTTGTTCAATTCATATTCAGTTTCATATTATGACTACTGTTATTATAAAATAAAAGACCACTCAAATATTATGAATAAACACAGATGACTAGTTCTCGTATTTCATGTGTGTGTCATCTGTAAAATGTAAAGATAGAAAAGTAACTAAGAAAACCGGAAAAAAAAGAGGAAGAAAAAAGACAAAAATAAAAAAAAAAGAATTAAATATTTCTTTCATTTCAAAGAAACAAAAAAAAACATCAGAAAATATTAAATTCCCATTTCCTTTTTTCCTTTTGACTAATTTAAAACAAGAGACAACCATAATCAAAGTCTCTATAATTGAAATCAAATGCAACATCATAAACAAACTATTCAACTTTCGGATCATGTTAAAAATAAAATAAAATATCATCAACCAACTTCACTTAGTCGTTCATCGAATGAATTAACTATATCAGATAATACTGATGATGACAATGGTAACATTAGTTTTGTTTTTTATTTATTGGATATATCATTTTTCTTTTAAATAGAAGTATTCATTTCATCATCTCCTCAAAAATTATATCGTAAACGTAGTTTTACATTTACAACACATGAAATTCCACAACCATCAAAATCTGAATATTTTCCTACAGATAAAAGAAATAATTTTCAACAAAACAGAATTCCTCAACGACAAGCATTATGTCAAGAATGTATTCGTTATAAAAATTTTCTTCATAATGAACATCAATATTTATTACGTGCTTATGATGAAAATCGAAAACTAACTGAAGAATTTCGTTCAGCTAGCTTACTTAATCGACAATATCAAACAGAAAATTTAAAATTAAAACAACATTTAACAAAAATCAATGCACATCTTGAAGAATATAAAAGAAATTTTAATCTACTTAAACAAAAAATTATAACAGAAAAACATAATCAATCAAAACAAGATCTTGAAAGTGATCAATTGAAAAGACTTCGACATGAATTACAAGTTTATAAACAAGTTATAGCATCAAAACGACAAGAAGAACAAAAAAATTTTGATTATTTTTTTCGGCAAGATTAGACCTAAAAGAAACAAATTATGTATTCATTTTTTTGCTGAAACTTCTGTTTTGTTCAATTTTCTTTTGTTACTCGTCAAAATAACAATTTGAAATATATTCTAAAGTCGTAGAAAAAACTTTAACAACAACGTATTATTCATGTTTTTTCTATACTAGTATGCACCTAGTTCAAATCTAGATTGTAATTTTAATAGCCACTTAAGTATTCTATCTAATGCATTATATACCAAATTTCCATAGATGAATCGTAGTTGCACGGTATCTAAACAAATCGGACACAGTAGCAATACCATTTTAAAGGACAAAACACACGGGATCTTTGTAATTTTTGCGATCTTCCTTTAAAAAATTAAAAGCATCATAAAAATCGACAATCAAAAAAATGCCTTTTTTTTCGATTTCTTTGTTAAAATAACTATGAGAAAATTTCCATGGCAATTTAATTTATTGCTTTGAGAAATAAGGCTAAAAATTAATTTAAATATTAATAGTATATAGAACCGATCCGTATGTATCTTAGCGGTTGGGTTGAGTTAAGAATTTGAATTTAATATAAAAAAGAATTTAGTTCAGATCGGAATAACGTTGTATATTTCTGTAATAAAAGATATCATGAATATAAAAACAAAAATAATTGTTTATTGTTAATATCATTTAATTGTATTTTTAAGTTTACTTGATAATAGAGATGTGTTTAAATCGTTATTCTATATATAAACAGTAATAAGTTGATTATGTTTATTTTTTCAAACGAATATAAACGATGTCCAAGAAGTTCTGAAACTGTTTTAAAATTTATCATTCTCGCATTCAACAAAAGCAAACCCTTTGAACCTTTCAGTGACCATTGTGCATACTTAGTACTACATAGATAAACATTCTGTGATCTATAGTTTTTATTATGACTGAGAACCAGTAACAATATTCTCATGTACTATTTTTTCGATTTTCCAGTAGTGAAAATTAATAAATTTCCAAAGCAATCCAACTTTTATGGATGAATGGTTAAAACTAACCAGATTACAAGATAGTGATCATCGTAACAAGATGTATTTTACGGATGATAGATATGCAAAAATTATTTGAGCTACTGTAGCAGAAAAAGAACCGCTTGAGAATTAGTTGATTCACGAAATGTTCAAGATAATCGCGATCATAACTAAAATATGTGGAAGTCTTTGCATGCTGTCAAACGTATTTTTATCAACTGCATTGAATCAATTAATTGTGCTGCAAAATTAGTTGACCATTGGCCTATAGGAAATGTTTCTGGTGTATTATAAGAAAAATTGCGAGGATGGAAATACACTGATATTGAATAACTAAAAACGATATTAATAAATGAAAGAACAAATTTAATCTTGTTTTATGTCAATAAATAATAGAATGAATACAAGCATGATTAAAATAAGTAGTTGATCAGGATGATGATCAAATTAATCAGCATTAGTAGCTTACAATAATTCTTTTATTCGATCTCGAAAAGTGATATTATGTTATCAAAAACAATCAAGATCATCGGAAAAATTGAAAAATACTACATGCTGATGTTATTATGATTTATTGTCCATTGAAAAAATTATAGATCTGAAACTTTGTAATGATTTATTATTCAGTAGAAACACTAACCAAGCAAAGTTTCAAAGAGTTTATTTTTGTTGAATATAAGAACGTTTGAATTTCAAAATCATTCCAGAACTAACTGCTGAGATATCTTTTTTATTTCTAGCTACTATGAATATTGAATGATCGATGAACTTTCGATAGTTAGTGAGTGTATTATTATTTTTTTCATAGACTTAATGTTTTCGATGTAATTTCATCTCGGAAGCATTGCATGATTGATGAAAATTTTCGAAGATGTTTTTTTTTGACGTATTTATGTACATGATTACAGGATTGATGTAGCCGGTGTTTAAAAAAAAAGAGTGCATTGCATCATATGTGTGTCTTATGATTATGACATTAGAACATAATGAATCGTTGTGAACACTGATGAAATTTAAAGTTAACTGTGTTATCTAAATACTCTAATTGATAGTATATGATGCATAGTCATTCTTAGTAAATTTTGAATCGGATTTGTTGATATTTTGAAAAGAATGTCGATCGTTTCAGGAGTAGTTGTACTATCTTTTGCATAAGCCACAGATATCTGTCGATATTTTCAAGTGAATAAGAAGTTATACATCAATAACAATCCATCGGATTCTACTAAGCTACATTTTCAAAGTAATATATGCGCTAAAAATTTTATATGCCTAGCTCTAAGAATAACTGAGATGGCAGAGCGAAATACTTTTTCCCCAATAGTGTATTTTTTTAATTAAGGTCATTATTACTTGTTCTTTTCCATATCTATTTAATTCCTTCCTTATCAACAAAGACTTTCTTTCATCACCAAGAAACAAAATCAGTCCCATTGCTTGAAGAAGCCTGGAGATATTGAACTTTTTCATCATTTAGTTATTTATAGACCAAAACAGTTATTAATTTCGTTATCTACATTATTATAGACGTCTTGTTCTAAAGGTCAGAAGCTTAGTCGACTATCTTGATATTGAATGTTTTGTCAGCATAAAAAGAAACCAACAATACTGATTCAAATTCATACTTCTATTATTTCGAGAAGCAATTCAGTTTTATATATATTTAATGATAAATGTATACATTATTATTCGTTGTACATAAAATAAAACAAAGAATTCAAACCATTGTATGCATAAAAGTAAAATAATTAAATGAAAAATCTTAAAAAATAAAATTTCATTATTACACATTTACAGATACATATAGTTTAATTATGAAGAAGAAAAAAAAATGAAAGAAATAATTATTTTTAACAGAATGGACAATCAAAAGAATTAAGTATCAAGACTATGATTCTATTTTTTCAAGAAAAAAACTTTTCGTGAATAAATAAATCGTAAAAAAAATAAACCTCAACGCATTATTGCCGTATTGTTCATCATACTGGTTCTGAACTTGCTCTAGTAGATTTTAGTGGATATTCAGAAAGGGCCGTTAATGAAATAGTTGGTCTTATTTTAGAACCATGTGTTGATAATGAATTATCATTTTGGAAATCACCTTCATTTCTATTTGTTAGATGTTGTAAACGAACTTTGATTGTTTCCAACTGATTGAAATATTTTTCAAGACATTTTTGTATTTCCTAAAAAATGGATTTTTTTATTTTTAATAAACAAATAGAATAATAATATCTATTTATATTATATTCACCATGCATTTGTGTTCTTCAAGTTGATCAAGATTTGTTTGAAAATTTATTTGAAGTTGTTCTTTTACGTCCTCGTGCATTTCTTCAAGCTGAATGAAAGAAAGAAATTGTTAGAGTAATCTCTTTGAGATTAAAATGTCCAACACATTGTGGGTAATTACAGAGAGATTATTTTATTCTATCTATTTTGGCATACATTTCTTCACCATACTTTTACTATGTCTTAAAGAAATGAACTAATGAAGTCGTTCATATCTTTGAACGAGACTTTATTGATATATAATTTTTGATCGTATATCAATCATCTCTGTCACAGGTGGCACAATATAGCTAAAACATCTGTAACGAACGAGATTAATAGGTGTTCTTAAAGCATCTGTCATGGTCTATGATGAAGGAGAGACGTTGCTAAAGATACTTATCATGCTTATGATGAGTTGTTTTAATATGTCTATTACATGAGTATGGGCAAAACCGATCTTTTTCGGATTAGAATCATATCAGAATCAGTAACGGTACGTTATTTTCGATCGCAATCATTCGTTCCAAATTACGAAGACAACATCACCAGAAATAATTACAACTGTATTACTGTGCAGCAATGAATTAGGAATGAACAGAAATTATATGAATCTGTTGGACCATGTTAAAAATAATGTTATCAAAGAACAAGAAGGTGACAAATAAAATTTTCATAATGACTACTTTTTTCGAACTTTTGCAAGTGTGATTAAAACAGCAATTGTGATCTAATACATGTGTATCTTTTTTGAAAAGAGATAGTGTCTTTATTTTTAAATAATGTTGAGATCGAATTCTAAACAACTAATTTAATTCTTTGTAAGAAGATAAAGAAAGATTTTACTGTCTTTCATGACAATGTTTCTGATTGCACTGTTGTTGTGACTTGGAATCAAAATCAGTCGATTTCAGCTTTTTTTCTATTCAGTTCGCCCATCCCTACTGTCACGATCGATGACAATTCGTCGATCACATTTGTCATAGTCTGAAGCGGAGAGGTCCACAGTTCTACTTCATATATTTCAACACTATTGTTAGACAGTGATTCATAATATAAATCTAGTTATAATGACTCTTAAATTTGTTCAACTCGATTTTTTTTCAACTCTTTAATCGCTGTCATAAATACTAATGAAAAATTATATATTAAATTACATAGAAATTTTCACTTCCAACAGGAATTTTTCAAGATGAAAATGATTCTGAATTTCTTAACGATAGAATACCTGGAAAACCAAAAGCTAGGGTTTTTCGACTGTTAGATTTTCATAAATGGAATTCAGTTTGATTGATTCAAAACAATAGAGACAACACTTCTTTACAAGATGAGACATGAAACAGCTCTCTATAACGTTTAGTGATCAAGATACACTAAGTCTTCCCGAATACGCATAAATAGTTTTTCATACAAAATGTCAGAAAAAAAACGACTTTTTTTATCTTGTATTAGTTCGATCAAAAGAAACATCATAGCGAACCAAGAGACATTGCTTATTATAGAGAGTTGTTTGCTCAATTATTCTTGGTAATTTAAACAGAATACTAATGATGATTTCTAGTAGTTGATAAACCTGATTCGAAGTTTTCGAAAGACTTTTGTCTGGGAGAAGCGTACAATAATTTTCTTCTTGAAAAATTCTTACTAGAAATCAAATTCTTTATTCAAATTAGTGGTTAAACTTTGATTAGCGTTTATAGCAAGGAAAAAAATGACAATCAGTCCAGCAGAAGACTTTTCAGGAGCCACCATATATTTAAAAAAAAAACAACGATGATAGTTACCGCTTGAATAATTAATGCACGAACTTTTGAATGTGATTGACTACTTTTTTGCTGTAATAAAATGATCTGATCTCTAAAAAAAACAAAATAAATTATTAGATATGAATAAACAGATTGATTGTTTGGATATAATTTTTTTCAACATGCCGATCTTTTTCAGTTTTTTCAATATTATTTGCTTCTCGTTTTATTATTGATTGAACGTGTTCATTGACGCGAGATATTTCTCTAACCATCGAAATAATTAATAGTATTAATAATACTTTAATGTTTACTTACTCTTGAAGAATTCTATCAATTTGATTCATTTGTCTTGTATAATCATTCTTTATATGTTTCTCTATTACATTATAATACTAAAAAGTAATAAATTCGATAGGAAAACTTTTATTTTGATATTGAGACTTAAGAAAATACGAACTTCATTTAAACCGTTACATGCTAATTCTTCTTGTAGATTAAACTTTGTAGAATAAATTGCGAGTAAATTTTGTTCAACTTGTTCAGTATTCTTTGAAAAAAACAAGTATAAATTAAGAATGAATTATGTTAATTAATTTAATATTAGTTGATTAATAACTTTTTTATGAATTTCATTTGTTGTTCGACATTTATTTTCTGAATTATTTGTCATATTTGATTTGTTCCGTTGAGCATAGATTTCATTATATTGAAGATTCAGAGATTTTTCGAAACGATCTTCTTCCTTGTCAATTTTCTATATGAAAAGAATAAATGAAATATGTTATTAACTCAAACTATGAATTGCCGAACTCTATTCGAACTATAGATTACGCTTATAAGATTATGCTTGTTAAATTAACAAGAGAAATCTTTCAACTGATTAATTGCTTTTTAGTTGGGACTATGTGTACTATATCGACCGTAATTAATTAGGGATATCTTGAAAAGAGTTCGCATTCTTATCTTGTTGCTATGGAGATACTGTATTTTTACGGTATTTTATAGTCGATGTCGTGATTTCTCTCAGAAATAAAAGTAAGACTGATGCTTTGAATTTCGATTCAGAATTTTATTCAGGATAAGCCTTTCGTAGAATCTTTATATTGCTGGATATTCAGATATTTTCGTTGTTCCTATCTTGAGATACGACTACTTTAAAAGTATGTTCTTCATGCTGTTCATACACAACGACAAAGACCGGTTTTTCTTGTTTTAAAATAGATGAAGTCGAAAAATCTGAAACTTTTACAATAAACTATTCTCATCAAGACTCGTCACTATGCAAAGTTGCAAATCGAAATTTTAAACTCAATTCTTCTAGTGTATCAGAGGGAGATATAAATCGCCCTGGCTCAGAAGTCGTCTGATTCATAAGAAATTTCCCTCATTATTGCATTCATTGACAATTTGCAGATTATTTTAATCAAAAGTTCCGCACAGTTATGAAATTTGTTATTGAAAACTTTGAACTAACAACAACATCATTCTTACGAATTATTACATTTTTAAGTGAACTCATATTTGAGAATTAAAAAGCTATTTCAAAAGAAAACTTTTAGGAGTTTCTCTGAATATTTTTCTTCAAGATAACTTATAAAATTTTTACTGACAGATTTATTCGTAAAAGATACCTTTTGATAATCCATTGAAATACGTCGTAGTTGGTTACGAATAGTTCGATCTTCTTTAACAACTTCTTCTGATATGATATCATTTGCTGAAAGAACTTTACATAAAATTTTTCTCTCATGTAATCTGCTAGCAGCAATTAAATGTTTCTGATAAGAATATTTTTCATCTGATAATATTGTTACACTTTGCTTTCTAACGGTATTTGTTTGTTGAATCGGTACTAAACTATGATTTCGTACAAACATTGACGAAAAAATATTATTATATTGATTCTTTTCATTATATGAATTTTGATCTAATTGTTTTGGATTCTTAATTTGATTCATTAATGGTTCGACAAGTTTATTAGCAAAATCTTGATCTTCAGCATTAATATGAATATTTATTTGAATAAATATCAATAAACTTGATGAATTAATAGGTATGTTCATTTGATTTCTTAATACAACATAACGATAACCAGGACGTATATGAGCAATAGGTATTAAACTTTGTCCTATAAATGTTCCATCTTCAGTTGAAACAACAAAACGAAGTGAAGCCATCTCTGGTAAAGTAACATTTGGAAATCGAACAGAATATTTATCTGAATCAATATCTGTGTCATCATAAACAGCTTGAAAACCATTCCAATATTTAGCACGTACAAGAAATTCATGACGTTTATTTACATCACCATACATTCCATACATTTGAATATCAACAAATGTTGGTTCACGATCTTGACATAAAAATTGACCTGATATAACTTTTATATAAATTTGATAACCAGCAACATTTTCAACATTCATTCGAATTCTTGGATCAAATGAACTTTTTAATTGACATAATGCTGATGGTTTTTCTATGTAACCACAAGCATTATTAAATGAAAAGAAGCCTAAATTAAGTTGCATCGGTACATCTAGAATAGAAGTAATTGATTAAAAAAACTTATAAATCTAATCTCTTTGATGTTAAAATATGGAACTCACATGTATTCTTAAGCCTCATTATACTAATACAAAATATATTAAGTGAAAATTCTCAAGAAGATTATGTTCACTTTCCAAGGATAATCGATCGTCAAGAAAACGATCTGTCTTATTTACTTTTTGCATTTCGCAGAGAAATTTTTCCTTTCTTTATTGCTTTTCATTTTTGTGTTCTATTTTTCTTAATTGAACATCATCATTATTCTCATCATTGATTTATTTCGATAAGCGCAGAATTACTGATACTAGGTGTTTTCCAAAATTATAACTTTATTCTTTTATGCTGTTTTATGTTAATCATACAACGATTTTGGCTAATGAATGCATCACTACTTATCATTCTTGACATCTTGAATATAAATTTCTCTATGTGCAAAAACCAAAATCTGTACTATATAGAACATTCAGAAACGTTTTCCAGTCAATGCAATTTCAAGGAAGGCTTTGGAATGTTCTAGAATAATTCAAGTCTTGCTGTAAATGCCGTTCAGTAGAGATATACAAAGCTTATCTTGCACATCTCTTTCATTGAGTACTTTTTTCCGTTGCTAAAGAACTCTAGAAAAGAAGAGTATTGTCTGTTGTTGTCAGTTGCTACGAAAACGTACCGAATGATCATTGACCTTCTACTCCCTCCCGATGAGTGCTCCAAGAACTGAGAAATAGGAATCCCTTTTCAGTTCTGTCTCAATTTCATGGATGTTAAAATAAAAAAAAGAATATTCATGATATTTTGACTCTCGGATTAATATCCATCAAACTATTTGTGAATATGAATCTAGCGATATGAAACCTACTGCAGAAAGAGCATTATTGTGGCTTTTATTATAAATCACAAAACTGTACAATAACTATTGGTCAATTTTCGTTTTCTTGAGGAATTATTATAGCTTCGTTGAGAATTTCTCCACAACTGAGAAATTCCTATTTATTAGTTCTTGAGCATTGCTATCCTCTTGGTTGGGTTGTGTAGAAGATAGAAGGAACTGTAAAAAGTTGACTTAGAACTTACATTCACTATTTTTTTTTTCTAGAAGCATGATGTGAGTTGCATAAAAATAAAAAGTTACAAGTTTTGTTTCGTTTTGTTTTTCTTACCTAATGTTTGATAATTTAATGCACACATTTGACATCCAATAGGCCAATATATGTATGGGTTAAAATTACTTGATTCCCAACGTATACCACGTGGATATATTCGACATAATTGTCGTTGATTATAAGCAAGAAATTCTTTTGCTTGTTCACGAATTAAATTGAATGCTCTGTCTTCAGAAAATGATGACATTTCAAAACTTCGATTACGTTGTTCTGCTAATACAAATGTTGTAAATCGTACAGGAACTACATAATGAACAAGATCCGACATAGCTTTTGTTGCTTTCGATTCACGATATCTATCATTAATTGATGTTTGACTTTCATTTGGATTTGTTTCATTAATATCTGTACATTCTTCAGATGAATCTTCATCATCAATGAGAACACAATCACGATGATTTTTATTCACTAATTGTTCATGATTGATCAATAAAGAAAGTTGTTCAAATAATTCTTCTTTACTTTTACTGGACTCATCTGATTGTGTCATATGACATGAAATTTTAGACGATGATGGAGTTGTACTTATGTCAGTACTTTGATCACTACTACTAGTTGCTGATATTGTAGTTGATTTTCGAGGAAGTGTTTGTTTATTTGTATTATTTACTTTTGAACTTTGATTCGAATTTAATTTTTTATTTTTAATTAAGATTTTATATTTAAGATCATTCGGACTTGGTAATGGGTAGTTTTCTTCACATGGATGTGTTTTAAGTGGTTCAGTTATGAGACTTTCAGCGAATATATCAATGAAATATTGAGCCATTTTCGCTTGAGCTTTAGGACTACACAAGTAAAAAGAGAAAATCAATGACATGTTTTTTTTTCTTTTCGTTTACGAAAAGGCTTCTTTTTATTTACCCGCAATGGTTTTCAATGGAAAGTATTAATGGATATGGAGTCACTTTAAAAGCGTATTCTTTAATAGCAACAATAACTTCAATAAAAAGTACTGGTTTAACAGGCGTATTTTTATGTTTTATTTCAGGTTCATCATTTCTCTTTTCTGAATCAACTACATCCAATTCAATACATCTACATCCAGTTAATAACACTTGTCGATACATTTCAACATTTGAACGTCCAGTCCATTGATACCCTAAAGAAGAACGCATTTTTTATAAAAATACTTATTATCCATTTGAAAAAAATGTCAGTGGTTGGTTTTTGAGTAACTTTCAATAAGAACGACAATAAGAGCTGAGGTTTTCACCACTCAACAGAGAACATCCGAGATCACCAAAGTAAGTTGAACTCTGTTTGGTCAGCAATTGATCAATCGTTCAAGAAATGTTTTCTGCTTTAATCTACATCAACTTCAACTCCGTCACTACTTTTGTTCAACATTTACGAGGATTTTTTTGTGATCTTTCGATTTCAGCAAATTGATTTAGAAAGACTCTAAATGAGTTTCAGGTAGCAGCAAATCATCATGGTGAGTCAATATAGAAATTCTTTCTTTACGTGTTAAAGCGATCTGAAACCACTATTTAAACATTATCATAAAACCTCTATTTTTGTGCTGTATAGGGGAAACTTTTTAAATTTCACATCTACTGAAATAATTATCTGAGATCGCTATAAAACTGACAACAAACATCATCATTAAACTCAGCGTGATGACTTATCCCAGTCTGAGCTTTATTTGAGCTCTTCAAGATCAATTTACTTTGATCGAACGATTTTCATGAAGATCTTTTAACTTTTGAACAGAAGCGACTATGAAGCTCGAGTTTGCAAGTACATCGAAAAAGAAAAGTTTTCTCTACCGTCTGGCATACTACGCATTTGAATCTAGTTTTTAAAATCTTCGTTAAGAACTTATCGGATTGGTTAATCGTTGATCAATCAGATTTTGACTTACTTCAATGATTCTGACTAGTTTCTCTTGAACAGTGAAAACCTCGGCTCTCTTTGTCGCTCATATCAAATGCTATTCAAAAACGAATCATATGCATTCGTTTTTTATGTATATTATACTAAATTGGCAAAAAATAATCAACAAACCTGCTAGATATGTGTTATGAGATGATGAAATATAATAATGTGCTAAAGGTTTATTCATGTCCATACATAGATCTAGCTTTTTTGGATCAATAATTAAATTATCAAAACTTAGTAAATATCGAAGAAATGATTCATTCGACATTCCTTCAAAAATATTTGAAATAAAAACAAACAATTCAATATATAAAATCGAATACATTACAGTACCTTTTTCTTTCAGTTGTTCATCATGTTCTGTATATTTTGTAATTAAATCTTTACCTTTTTGCTCATAATGATTCAATTCAAAAGTATCATTAAGTGAAGCATTTTGATTTCTAAGAAATACTTTCATATATTCCAAACTAAGATATCGTCGATTTTTTCCAATCCTATGATACAATAAAATTTATATTCTAAATCACAAAAAGATATGACTTATTCTAAACTACTTTTGTTATTATGCATTTAGAAATTAGATGTATTTATGACGAATGTAGATTCTAGAAATCTTGCAACAGCGTTGCCTTCACTCTCACATATTAGAAGATTCCTTAAAAAGTTGGTACGGTAAATCATAATAGAAGACTCAAGGTTTTGCATTGTATGTGGAGATATTCGAAAACAGCATAGAAATCCTCTAAATGAATGGACACGTTTTTTTTTAGAATGTTTTATTTATGAATGAAGGTAGTTTGTTTCATAATCATTCACATATTACTTTCTTTAAAACTAAACTGAAGTCTTTCCTATTCTCAGCTTTATTTATGCTGTATGTTCAAGACTTTTGACAGTCTTTAGAAATGGAAAAAAAGGTAAAAATTTGACAGACAATCGCACATGACCAGTTTGATAGAAAGTGACTAAGAGAAGCTGCTTTTATTTAAACATTGCAGTAGAGCCCATCAGATTGGTCCTGATCGGAAAATGTTGAACTGAAGGAGATCTATTTGGAAAACAGTTTTCTGGTACCAGCTCAACATTTTTGCAGGCATAACGTAAAAAGCGAAAAAGGACTACGGCATCACAGTCTTTGCTACATCAAGACCCATGTGCATGTTTTGTACAAATATGATAATAGAATGAACTTGTTATTCTATATAGTTTAATCAATGTTGGTGAATTTTTGGTGGCGCTTCGGGACTTGGAACTAATTCGATAGAGGATAAGGCACTACTGCAAAAACCTGGCAATAAAAAGTCAACTTTCTTTAAATTTATGAAGTTGATACATTGTTTATTTGTTTCTCATATTATAAACAAGAAAAATGCTTATGACTAGAGTAAATATTCGTAGGAAAGGCAGTCTTTTTTAAGGATTACAGGGTCGACCATAAAAAAAGTTTCATGTCACACATTTGTTCGCGCTACCGTCGATATACTACAGTACTTGCTAGAGCCGACAGTAGTACATACAACTTTTCATTCCAGCTATAAACGATTGAAGAGTGTTTTCTACCCAAATTTGAATAATTTTTTTAGAAAAAATTTATATAAATAGAGAAGAAAATAGTTTTAGAATATATTTTACTAATAAAAATGTGTTTCGTTAATGAGGTCAATATGAACTCTGTAGATAGTAAGCCGACTCAAACGCATCACCATTAGCAAAATGCATCGAAAAGAACTTAATTCTGTTATTTTTAAAGGATTTCAAAACTATTCATCCGTTCTGATATAATACACCACGATGCAGTACTTTGAATGAGAAACGATGATAGTTTCTTCGTAGTTATCAAATGGATTAGCCCTTTCGGCAATATTCTTTGTACATCTTCCGTGCTCCATTTTTGAGCACAGATATATTTATATTAACGAGAGATAGCAAAAGAAAGTGTCGAAATAAATATTACGTTTGGCTTGACATTCAGTATAACTAAAGAGCTATTTGTATACTAATTAAAAATGAAATTCCAACTTATAAGAAATTGCTTTTAAAGACTCTTTTGTTTTGATACAATGATTCAAGTTTGGCGGTCACCTTGAAATCAAGACTTATCAATAATTCATACATATCATAACGCTTTATTGACAGTATATTGTCGAGCATACTTAAAATGAGTTCCACTAATGAAATAACCAAATTACTTTGCCATTCAAAAAAAATATGGAACACTTAGCTCTACTTAATTACGACAAGTATTGATGTGAAAATAAAATCTTATCAATGTACAAATTATTCTTTATAATGGAAGAGATTTTTTTTATGGCTCCACCTATAGTAATCAATAGAAACCTAATTATCTCATCAATAAAGATAAGAGATCGACAAGTTCTCAGTTAAAATCAAATATACCTGTTTAAATATATCAACTCTAAGAACTGAACTATCCAATAAATTTTATTCTGTTTCATGAAAGGAATTTCTACAAACAGAAGAAAAAGATTTCTGGAACAGTTCAGTTCCTACTCAGTGTTTTATCCAGATTTTTTTGTTGGAAGGACGACTGAAAGCTTCAGAAAGGGAAACAATTATTTTTCGAATTACAGACATATTTTACGTGCTACGATAGCCACAAACTACGGAAGTGCCAATCAGATCGTTGGAAAAAACACTATTCCTATTAGAGAAATTTTTCAACAGTTCTTTAGATCGCAATTTTTACTGCTGAACGATTCTCGCTCTAAAGCAGATAAAAAATGATCGAATACTAGTCTGGTATTCATTTTGATGAATTTATTGTACATAAACAATGTTGAATTATTGTTACATGGTAAGGCAATGGAATAAATCGTTTTCGATTTGAACAAATTATTTTTATTTGAAAATTGTTTAGAACTTTAGTGGAGATTCACTCAATGAGTTAGTCGCTTTTGAGCCTGACGTGTTTGCATTAGAGAGATTCTAATGAACAAAAAACATTGTAAAAAGAGTTTGAATCTTTACATTATTGCTTTGGAGATAGTACATGTTTATGTCAATTTTGTGATGCCTCTCAGGAACTTCAGAAAAACTTATTTTTTGAATTTCGATTGGAAATTTTTTACAGAGACAGGTGTTAAACGGAATAGTGTATTGTGAAAGTTTCAGATCTTTTGAATTACTTCTATCCTGAAATAAGAACATCGAATCTACTTTGATGAATGTATATGAGTGAGGGAAAAGATATGCTTTTACTGTAGCCGTATTGTAAGGTAGGAACAACGAAAAAATTTGAAGCTCAGATAATAAACTATTCTCGCTAAGAACTATCCGGATGCAAATTTTTAAGTTGAAAGTCAAAAATCAATTTGCCGATGTAGCTAAGAAAAATCACGACATAGATTTAAAAAAATATTCATGGCAAAATGCTGAGGAGTCGAATTCATCTCAGAACATTTCTAGTTCATCAAAGTCTACAGAATGCACAAAGTCTCGAATCAAAAACAATGAATCAGTTGGAGAGGACTTCCTTCATTAGTTTATGTTGATTTTTCGATCGAATCCTCTATAAAAATCAAAACTAAATTCTTACATTGATTCAAATAAATTATCGATTTCACGACAGCCCATCAGATGCATATAAAGCCGAAAAAACTTATTGAAAGTAAATTCAGCTGGATTAATCACAGAATCCTAATATATACACATGTTTTTTTAAGTTAAATAAATTTATCTGATAATTTTCTTTACTTACCATTTGACATGGTAATTTTAAGTGATCTAATGCTCGAAGTATTGTTTTTTCTTTGCTATTATCATGAATGTTTTTACAGAGAAATTGAATGAAACTATAAAATATTTAAAAAAAAAGATTAAAATAAAATATAGAACAGCAATACCTTTTAACAGATATTGTTTTTCTATCTGGATCAATTAAACCATGAATAATTCTTGAATGAAGTTTTTCGAGACAATCTAAACTAGATAAGTTTCTTAAAATTTGATTATGTCCAAATTGAAATAATTGTTTAGCCCATCTCTATTCAATAAAAAAAACATCCAATAAAATATATAAATTATTCGGTAAATCTTTTCATACTTCTGCAATACTTGGTGATTCAAAATAAAAATGAATTAAACGCAATTCTGTAGGAACATACGTATTCCCATAATAAATTGTAAGCCATTTCGATTGAATTGGAACATCAAGTACGCCAATGTTATTCTTTTGAAAATATTCATGACCCTAACAATATTAATGTATACAAGTATTCTTTTTTTTTTTTTCAAAACGATTTCTTTTACTTGAGGAAGTAATACTTGTGAACCTGTACGAGTATCATGAATTAATGCAAGATCAAAACATTCGACTTCCTTAAAAGAACAAACAAAAGGATCTTTGTCTTTCTATAGATTTATATCGGCATACTTTTTTGGTTTTACTCAAACAAATCAGGTAAAAGCCTTTTGCATCAATCGATAAATTGACGACGATGGGAGTCTAAGAAAATTAATAGATTTAATCATATAAACATTAATTTAGCTATTACTAGAGCCTTTTTTATTTCTTCAGGCCACTTCAATGCAAATGTACCAAGTTGTAAATCAGTTGGAATTTCATTTGATTTAAGTGACGAAGCACGATATGATCTTATGGCCATTTCCTATAAAATTACATTTTAAGAATGGCTCATCTACAGAACAAAATATATAAAGATATGTCAATTTGGTATGTATAAGTTAACTTTCAAATCAAAGTAAGCTTCTAATAAACAAAATATCAAATATCATCTTCGATACGACAATTTCTTCGATTTTAGCCTCCATTTGGTTGTTGATAAGTAGTTTGCTTTTTTTTCGTTCTACTATTTTTTTTTATGCACACGAATACACAAACGAATGACAAACGGAAGGCAATAAATAGAATGAGAAAGAAAAACGAAACTCTGTCAATAAACTTTTGGTGCATTGTCCAATGGCTTATACTATAGACTCGAGGGCGCTTTTAGTCGATTGAGAAAGATTAATGATTCATTCAAAAAAAATTCCACTTCAAATTTTATTTTCCAGTCAAGCATGTCGTTTAAAAAAACACATCAAATTTTCCTGTATATCGTAGAATTAATTCAATCAAATGTCCAATGTACAATACTTGTATTAGTACAGTGAATGCTATTCTGTTTCTTATTATATGCATTCTTGAAAATCTCTAGGTTTAATGCGTTATCTATAGCAGTCTCGTTTCTCATTCAATATAGGATAGAGTAATGTAGAAGCTTGTTCAAAAATATTATGACTCTAGCTATTTTTCGAATAACTTTCGCTAGAAAAAGGATAGAGACTTGCAATTTTCATTATTCAAAATAAGAGATCGAGAACTTCAAAACACATCATATTTGCTAGTTCAGTGGTCAACCAAACAAGACAAAACTCGATAGACATTTTAAAAAGCAAATATTCTAAACGCATTTTTCATTCAATTTTGCATTTTGACATGACAATTTGATATAAAAACTTGTACTCGTTGGATCTATGCAAAGCCAACGTCTCAATCTCACTTGACTCAAAAGTTAGAAAAACTTTCCAGAGATCACTAATGGCGGTTAACCGAACTGGCATTACTTGAAAAATAGAGGTGAAGAGAAGTGATTAATCATGCTGACTCTAGTGCAGAGATAGAACTGATCTCGGTTACCAACTGATCCAGTTCGCTTCGATCTGTCCAGAACAGTCTTCGTCGTGAGAAATTCCAGACTGATTCTAATTCTGATCTAGTGGTATTGTTTGGTTCTTGTTTCAAAGCGACTTGAAAGCACTCGAACGAAGTTCCGAATTTCTAATTTACTTGATACATAATATAAGAAGTAGATATGTTCGACATTGTCAAAAATTGTTTCTAAATTGCTTTAAAATAAAACACAATATCAGCATAATAAATGATCTCTCTTCACACCTTATGTTCCAGGTGATCTCAGATCGATTGACCGAAACCAGACGTCTCAAGAAAACTGTACTAATTCTTGAACGAAGCGAACTAAAAAGGTGTCAATTATTGCATAGATCAACAAGCAAATTTTTGTTTCTATCAAATCATCTTGCCAAAACTCAAAATCGATGAAAAAATGCATTCAGAATATTTTTTTTCCAAAGTATCTATCGAAATTTCATCTGACGGATATATTGCTGAGCTAGCAAATCAGACATGTGTCTACTATCCTCGATCGAAATCTTCTTTTGCATAATGAAAACCACAAGTTTCTATCTTTTCCTAGCGAAATTTATACGAAAACTGACTACGGCTTTTATAATTTTGGACGGGTAGCAACTATTCTTATTTAACAAGTTAGGAACACTAAATTTTTACAATTACATAGATATTAAACACTACTATACTTTGTCAGCTCAGTGACTGTTTTTTTTCTCGAGGTTTTCTATTATTCTATCATGAGTAGCCATTTACTCTAGTGATATAGTTCTAGATAAAATTTGCCTTTTTTTAATCAGAAAGTTGAGAATCAGATAAAGGCATGAAATAGTAATCTGCAATGTAAGCTATCATAATTAAAATAGTTTGTTGCTTGTTCGCTTTTTTTTAATATCATTTTCGAGGATTGCTATCATATTCTCCGAAAAAAAACACAATTTTTCGTCCATAAGCATGGGTTTTATGATGTTGACGTGAGAAAATAAGGATGTTTATGAATTATAAAAGTGCTTTAGCAAGATTTATTAATCTTCAAAGAAGAAAAGCTTGTCGCACGTTCACGAGAAATTTAACTAGCTGTTAAAAGTCGAAAAAGAATTAAAAATAATAAAAAATTTATAAGATATTTATTTAAAAAATATTTTTCAGATTTTCTGTTTATATTTTTTTCATCGCGTATCTTAGAATTTTAATAGAAGCTACATGATAGTCAATTATTTGTTGTCTTAGTTTGAAAGAGCATGTCAAGATGCAAAAAAAATAATAGAGTCCTTTATTTTAATTCAGCTTTGTATATTTTTATCTTTGCAAGTACTTTTGTAAATACCTTTTCCTTCTTGAAGACCTTTTTTAGAGATCGGTATTGTCACTCTTTTTCTCTCGATAAAAAAGAAGGATTTAAAACAAGAACTGTCATGTCCTACATCTTATCATGCGCTCTCAAATAAAAACCTAGTTAAATGTAAACAGAATAAGCATCCATCGAGAATTTCAGGTTGCTATGTGAGCTATTTTTAAACCTTATTTGATGAATATCTATCTGAAATGTAACGATATAGAGCTGAGAATTTTGCTATACTCTCTTCACTATAATTTCAACATGTTCTAAAAATGTCAGACGATTTGAATATATTTGAGGCGAAATTAGTTTTTGCGGTAAGGGAGCATCTTAATTCAATTTAATTGTAAAATGTAAATGGAAGACATAGATGATTTCAAGCGTTGTAAGAAAACGCACAGTATACAAAGCTATATTATTACAGACACTCGTACAATTTTAATAAAAAGCTTCAATCAATTGCTTCTTTTTAACACAATTAAAAGTACGAAACAAGTATAAACTCATCAGATATGAATATTTGTATCGTGGCAATTTTCTCGAGTACTTTCCGACCTTTTCAAAGTCTTTTTAATATTTAACTAATTTGTGTTTTTTTCGCATTCTTCTCCTTTCAACATCATCATGAAATTCCATAGGAAAAAAAAAGAAGTTCAAGAGAATTTGTAAAACAAGAGAAAAGAGAAACAAAACCCAGAGGCACAAATTGAAGAAAAAAAGAAGTGAACAAATAACAACATCAACAAATAAAAAGAAAAACAGAAGTTTCATATATGAAAAAAAGAAAACTTTCCATACCACAGACAATACTCTTGTCTTACACACATACACATGCAAAAGAAAGCATGTATCTTAGTTTTGTTTTGTTTTTTTTTAATTTGCAATGAAGAAGAAAGAAGAAGATTTATCATTTGACAATGGCAAAAAAAAAATAAATAAATAAGAAATAGATGCACAACAAATAGATACGAATAGAGTAAGAAAATGGTGTCAAGCTGTTGTTATTATATCAACGGTATTATTTCCATTATGAGGATAAAAAAATGTTTGTCCGGTTGTTGATGATGTATGATGATGATGATGATGATGATGATGATATATAAAATAACCATCATTATTATTATTGTTATTATTATTATTATTATTATTATTATTATTATCAACAAGAAGTTTAGCTATTGTTGGTGAAGGTGTTGATGAACAACAACAATCATTTGATGAAGAAGAAGATGAAGGCGAACATGATGAAAAGGAAGACGACAATGTATTGTCACTTAAATCAAGATAATCACCACCACCATGTAATGATACATCAACATCATCGTCATCTGATATTGATACAACAGGTACTGCAAAATTTGATTGAGCAAGCCAATATGCATCAGTTGACGATGGATGATACATTGATGATGTTGATCGTAAATCATTGACTGGTAATAATACTTTATCCGAATCATAATTCGATGAATGTGAAGACGAATACTGTTGATTTGTTGTTTCTATTTCATCATTTACTAATGTTGATGATAATGGTGACATATAAATACTATCTGACGATGATGAACGATAAGTTGTTCGATGATGTTGATAATACTGTACATGTTCTTGTTGTTGTTCTTGCTGCTGTAGTTGTTGTTGTTGTTGTTGTTGTCTTAGTGGAGGAGTTTTTGTAAATGTTTTTTCTAATCGTTTTATTAAATTACATATCAATAAACTAACTTGTAATTTTGGTTTTTTAACACCACGTAATTTTCTATAAGATTCAACAAGTACAGAACGTTTTTGTTCATCGTCATGCATTGATGAATATGTGCAACGACGTTTAATAATTGGTGTACCATAGGATGTATGAATTGTATCACTATGACGTCGTTGTATTATTGTACAAGGTGTTGTTAATGAATTAACATGATGTGATTCATCATCACTTATTATTTCATCATCACCAGAGCTACCATCATCATCATCATTATCATCATTGTCATTGTCATCGTTTTCATCTTCATCTGATTCATCACTATTATTACAATCTAATGATGTTGATATGTGATTAAGCGTTGTTGAAGAACTATTATCTTCATAAGCTAGAATTAGAAATATAGTTTATTAAATCGAAGTCTTTTCATTGTATACTATTTCATATAGATAGAATTTAAAAACTAAAATGAATTCACTTAAGAGAAAGGAAACAGTATATATTTATATATATACTATATAACGGTCTGAAGAAAACAGAATGAATTTTAATAAATTTTGAAAAATTATACAGTTGATGAGCTGCAATATGTTTTTTTTTTTCTTATATTCGCAACACAAAGTAGGAAATATTGATATAGAATAAAGGATTTTTTTCATAAAGAAAAAATTGAAATTTCATTTATGGACTCTGTATTGAAGAAAATGAAGAAATGAACATGAGATATAGTGATGAACAGGAGTTTTCTTTTGTTTTCAGGTTTAATTAAGAATACTAATAAGGGAAGTTGTCCAATTGATCAACTGATTTTCAACTAGGACTAAATGTATCCAGTAGGCCATAATGGATTATGAATACTCCGAAAACGAGTTCGGATTTATAGCTTGTGGCTGTCAAAATATTGCAATTTTATCCTATTTTA